GGTACACTCAGTTAGGACTGTTAAAAGTCCTAACTTAAAAGATACAGAGTAGTAAAGGACTAAAGAATGTGAACAGAAGATTGACATAAAGTACATGGAAGATGGGGAAGTCAGCTCTCATCAATTATTCCTTGTTAGGAATTGTCAAGACCTTTTGATATAGGATGGTCAAATAACTGCAAGTCAATGGACCTTTGTGTTTTGATCAAAAATATCCAACTGGCTTAGTCCACAATGGCTAAAACACCATCAATATCTTTACGTACATTGACTAGACCAAAATTTTCAGCAAGACTACCTGCAAATCAAATAAATAAGACTAACTTTAACAAATTAGTTTAGTTCAACAAATTCTTAAGTTTCTGACAAGCTAAAGTAGTAGCAACAGCATGTGTCACAACCATTTCATGACTTTGTTAATTTGATGAAAAGCTGTTGTTTGAAGTGCTGTGAATCTCCTTGGATATACAATCTCATACTTTTCACTAACATCAATGACCTTCTAACATGGAATTCAATTGGCAACGTAGGCATAGACAAAAGCTCTTGTTGTTTCTATAGTTGAAAGGGTTTTATTTGGGCAAATTGATGCTCTCTCATGCCTTTCTACTAGTGAGTATTCTGAGAAAACTTGTCATCTGTATATGACCAATTGCTCATGGTGCAGATTTCACTTGCAAAAGCAGCATGTACCTTTGCCTTGAAAGAAATGAAACGCTGGATGAAACCTGAAAAGGTATCCTCAATATCATTCTTGCTAAAAAATCAAAGTCACATAACTGTTTGGCGTTCTTTAAATTAGCCTTGTAATATTAATGTCTTTAAATCTCTTCAGGTGCCAACTTCTCTTACAACTTTTCCATCATCAGCAGAGATCATTTCAGAGCCCCTAGGTGTCGTGCTGGTCATTTCAGCTTGGAACTATCCATTTCGTAAGTGCAAACTATGTGCATTTTATAAGTGTGTGGACTGAAGGTGGCTTGTTGGTTGTGGAATAAAAGGGCTCTTCCTATTATATTGTCACCGACTAGCTTTGGTATTAGCTATAGTTTGATAATTCCCGAACGGCTTCGATTTTATATACCTTATGTTATTACCTTAATTGGAGAGTATTAGATCTGTCTTGGCTTATACTGCTAGTTCACAATTCTATGGTGCTTGGATCCTACTTGACATGAATAAGTAACGGTAGTGATGTTCGATCTTTGCTTCTCCTTTATGTGTCATTGCTCGAGTGTTTTTTATTTAGTTGTTCTATTCTTTGGGTTGCATGGGTTTCTTCAATCTGAACTCAATGCAGAATTCTTTTGTCTTTCTCTTTGATAGAATAGTCATTCCCAAGTTACTCAGCAAGAAACCAATAAAAATGATCGATGTATGCAACATCTCTAAAATGCAACAGTAGATATCTTTGGTTCATATCGGAAGATTAATGTATGCAAGCTGGGTATAATTTTTGTATTTTAAGTTTTACTGTGTTTTTTGGCTACACCTGAATATCAACTAAGTCTGCTATGTTATAGATCTGTCGGATTCCGGAATCTGTCAAAAAAATTTTAAAACCATGCTTTCAGTCGTTTAACTTACCAAGTTGGGAAATTGTTGTTCCATTATAATATATGGAGTGAATGCACTTAAAATGTCCTGTTAGTGTCACTTGTAATTTTCTCAATGTTTGTTGATGTCAAGGTCATTGCCGTTCATTTTCTTGCTGTAATTACGTTTAGACTGTATTCCAGTTTGCTCTTTTAAAATGGCACTGTCAAATTTAAGGTACTTTGTCGCGACCCGGATTCTTGTACATCCCTGATTTTCTCTTTCTCAAGAGCAATAACAGTTCTTTTCTTTTGTTTTTCCCAGTGCTGTCTATTGACCCTGTAATCGGAGCACTTGTGGCTGGCAATGCTGTTGTTCTAAAACCATCAGAAGTTGCACCTGCCACATCATATTTTTTTGCAAAAGTTTTACCTGAGTACATAGATAACTCTTGTGTAAAAATAGTTGAGGGTTCAATCCCTGAAACAACAGCACTTCTGGAGCAAAAGTGGGACAAAATATTCTATACAGGTACTGACCTACTACTTCATGCTTCTTACCTTAATATAACTTTCTAAAGTTTTTTATAGATTTTTCAAACATTTTAAAGTGTGAGTCTGCATATTATTCCTATGATTTTTATGTACATATTTTTCTATTGCTCTATAGCCATTTAGACTTTAAAGAGCCTGGATTTTGCAATTTTAACCGGCGGAAACTCCACAGGTAATGGCAAAGTGGGCCGCATTGTGATGGCAGCAGCTGCAAAGCATCTAACTCCAGTAGCCTTGGAGCTTGGTGGAAAATGTCCTGCTCTTGTGGATTCAAGTGTCGATGTTAAAGTAATTATCTTTTTGTTTTCTTCTTTGCTACAGATGTAGGATTCCTTGCATTGGCATTAATGAGGGTTTACTCATGAAACTAATGTAGACTTGCATCTGAGTCTTTTTTTCAAAACTGATGTATCCTTGTTTCTTGATCTTTCAAGGTTGCAGCAAAGAGAATTGCGGTAGGCAAGTGGGGATGCAACAATGGGCAAGCTTGTATCGCTCCAGATTACATCCTTACAACGAAATCATTTGCTCCGACACTGGTAGAAGTTTCAGTATGAAATTTGATGAAAGTTTGATCCTGCTTGTTCTAGTTTTTATCTTTTGACGACATTGACAGGTGGATGCTATGAAAAGAACATTGGAAAAATTCTACGGGAAGGATCCCTTGGAATCAGCAGATTTGTCTCGCATTGTAAACTCTAACCATTTCAAACGCTTGATGAGCCTTTTAGATGATGAGAACGTTTCTGGCACGATCGTCTACGGAGGCCAGCGGGATGAACAGCACTTGTAAGATTCAAATATTATTACCGCTCTTTCTTAAAATGAAATCGAAGCTGTTTAACCTTAACATCACCATATATCCTTGCAGGAAAATAGCTCCTACGCTCTTGTTAGATGTGCCACATGATTCATCCATAATGAAGGAGGAAATATTTGGCCCATTCCTTCCAATTGTTACAGTAAGATACTCTCAACACCACAATACATGATCTTATAGAAGCCATCCTTTGTAGACTCACAAAGTTTCTGATAAAGGACACATATCTTGATCTGTCAGTTCGACGAAGTGGAAGATTGTATTGACTTTATAAACTCAAAGTCAAAGCCACTTGCAGCCTATCTCTTCACCAAAGACCGCAAAATAGAAGATCAGTTTGTAAAAAACGTCTCTGCTGGTGGAATTCTCGTCAACGATGTCGCCTTGCATGTGAGTTCCCTTATCCGATTCCCAAAAATATATGTTCTACGTGCAGTTATGCCTTCTAGTCCACTGCTACTATCAATTCTTTTGCAACTCAACTCTTTTTCTGTTCATGCAACTCTTTTTCTGTTCATGCAGCTCGCAAACCCACATCTGCCATTCGGTGGCGTAGGCGAGAGTGGAATCGGTGCTTACCATGGCAAATTCTCATTTGATGCGTTTAGTCACAAGAAAGCCGTCTTATCTCGTGGATTTGGCGGGGAAGCTCCTGCTAGATATCCTCCATATACACCACAAAAGCAGAGAATTCTTAGGGGACTCATCAATGGCAGCATCATCGCACTTGTTCTTGCTATACTTGGATTTCCGCGAGATTAAGCATATTGTCTATTTGATGGTCATGTATGTATGTATGTACGTACGTACGTACGTTGTATGAGATGTTCTGTTCCATGCCCTACGTATGTATGTACGATCAAATTACTCAGATTCAGTAACATAAACAATCATGAAAAGATGAGTTGCATGCATTTGTCAAAGCTATGATGGTCTCCTTTCAAAGATTTTGATTGGGTGCCTCTTGATTCAAAAGCTTAAGTTACTGATAGGTCATATTATCCCTATTTTTAATCAGAATATTTTTTTTACAAAAAATATAATTTTGACCTAACCACGATTAAACGGAGTCAAATTTGACCCGATAAATTGGTTTGATTCGAATAGTTCCGATCATGATGATGATAAATTGGTGTGTTTAAATCGTTACTCACTCGTTCGATCATGACGACGATGAATATATGTGTTTAAATCGGTTTGAATCGAATCGAACCGTAATTGATTTCGACGTAGCTAATCAAATTGATTGAAAACTAATTTATGATTTTAAACTGTAATATTAAAATTAGCTCATGAATTAACATTTATAAATTGTGATATTAAAATTAGCTCAATATTACTACTGAAATTTTAGATTTCAGAGAGCTAATATTTTTTAAATTAAAATCAATTCGATTTGATTTGAACAGATTCTTCGAACTTAAAGAAGAATATCTCTTAAATCAAAACTATTTATAACATTAAAAATTAAATTATTACTGAACCAGTTTGGACCAAATTGATTTGGTTCGGTTCGATTCTGATTTGATTTGGTTCGAGTTCGATTTGAACGGGCCTAACTAAGATCTGATTTGAGGCACACATATTGGCGCTCGCCTTCAAAGCCGGGGTTCGTGTGGCCACCCTCCTCTCTCTCGTCGATCGCTTCCTCGCCATGGAAGCAGTAAACACCGCTTTCTTTTCTATCCGGCAAAAAGGAGTAATTTTTGCTCCCTAAATCCGCTCCTCGTCTCTCATAATCTTGTGGCGTTGTCATCTTCTTCTCTCTTCTTCTACTTCGTTTGCGATCCAATGCTCCGTCGAGCTCAAAAAGGTGCGATCTTTCTCTCTGCCCGAATGCTTTCTTTATTTTCCTCTGTTATGCATCAATCATTGCTACTGGATGCCTGAGCTTGAACTGGAGAAGATTTCTCGCTTCCAGGAGATAAATTAGTGAGTTATCCTGCTAGTTTGTAGTCATCATGATTTGATTTCTTGGCATTTTAATCTGGACTTCTCAACCGCTCTGATGATCGACAAATTGAGTACCTCTCTAAACTTGACTCTGCTTTTAGATACATAGATCGAGCAGTATTGGTGTGTGAATCGAAATGCCATTCGGGAAAAGCTCCACGATGGACTTTAAGAGGTCATCATCGTCATCGTCGTCGTCGCAGTGCTCGACAGCGACCCTTGTTGTGTTCGTTGCTCTTTGCTTGGTTGGTGTTTGGATGATGACATCGTCCACTGTAGTCCCCGTCGACATGTCTGCCACCGAGATCAACTCGGAGATGAAGCAACAAGCTTCCGAGACTTATTCAGCGCCACTCGAAGAGAGTTCAACGGAGGTCTCCGGTGAAGCAACGAGAAGTGATGCCGACACCAGCGTGAGCGATCCTACAACTGAAACCAAATCCGAGTCGTCGGAAGAGCAGAAGCTGCTCGACAAAACAGCTGAAAACATGGCAGAAAAGACCCAAGAAGGCGAGCTTGGCAAGGATAAGAAGGATGATGATTCCACAAAAGCTCAGGCATATAGTGATGAGAACGGGAATACAGAAGGTGAAGAAGTGATCAAAGAAGGTGGTGAGAGAAAAGAAGGTGACCCGGAGAACGCTCAAGACAGGAGCTCAGAGGAGAATCCTCGAGAATCTGCAAATGGTGCGCAGGAAAATACAGCAGACCAGCAGACATATAGTGATGAGAATGGCAATGCAGAGGGTGGAGAAATGATTAAAGAAGGTGGTCAGGAGAATAGCCTCGACAAGAGCAGGGAAGGGAGTTCTCAAGAAACTACGGATGGTGAGCAGGAAAAGAAAGCCGACCAGAAGTTTGATGAAACGACAGAAAGTGAGCAAGACAAAAGCTCAGAACAGAGTTCAGATGAAACTACTAATGGAGATGAGAAACCAGAGGGTGGAGAGATGATCAAAGAAGGTGTTCAGGAGTATGGCCAAGACAAGAGCAGCACAGAGGAGCCTTACCAAGTAACTACTGATGGTGAACAGGAAAAGAAAGCAGATCAGAAGGTTAATGAAACGGCAGATGGTGAGCAAAACAAGATTTCCGAGCAGAATTCAGATGAAGCTAAGGGAGATGAGCAACAGAAGTCCGATAGCAACAACACATCAGAGCAAGATGGAAAGGATCAGGGTCAGATAGAGGAGAAAGGTGAGCAAAACGAAGACAAGGAGGCCGAAGTAAAATCCAACGAGACCATTACAGGGACGGGGAACAAAACGGAGGACAGTGTCTCCAGCGAGTTGTTTCCCGACGGAGCTCAGTCGGAGCTTCTAAATGAGACGGCCAGAACTCAGAATGGTGCATGGTCTACTCAAGCTGCCGAGTCCAAGAAAGAGAAAGAAGTGCAAGCTACATCAAAGGAAGATGGTACTGGGTACAACTGGAAGCTCTGCAATGTTACCACTGGGCCTGACTACATTCCTTGCCTTGACAATGAGGACGCCATCAAGAAGCTCAAGACTACTAAGCACTATGAACACCGCGAGAGGCATTGCCCTGATGAAGCTCCCACCTGTCTTCTTCCTCTGCCCGAAGGATACAAACAGCCAATCGAGTGGCCAAATAGCAGGAACAAGGTACCTCTCGTGCATTGCATCTATGTCAGAGAAAATTCATTTTCACAGTTCTAATGTTACTGCAGATATGGTATCATAATGTACCTCACACAGAGCTTGCAACCATAAAGGGGCATCAAAATTGGGTGAAAGTGTCTGGTGAGTACCTCACTTTTCCCGGTGGAGGAACTCAGTTCAAGCACGGAGCACTGCACTACATTGATTTCATCCAGGAGGTTTGCTTGTTACTCTTTTCTGCTTCTTGCTTACAAGTACTTTTGTCTTCATGATGTCAATTTATGGAGCCTCAAATGTCAGATCAGGTGTCATCATATACAATTCCTTTTGTTGTTTAAAGCTGTATCATTACTATGAAAGATGGATTCCTAGTGCAAATTGTTTGATCAGTTTTAGCATGATTTTGATCATTTCTTCTGTGCTACTCTGGTCTGTAGTCTGTGCCTGAAATAGCCTGGGGGAAAAATAGCCGTGTTGTATTGGATGTTGGCTGTGGAGTGGCCAGTTTCGGAGGCTATCTATTCGACAGAGACGTGCTCACCATGTCATTTGCTCCTAAAGATGAGCATGAAGCTCAAGTGCAGTTTGCTCTTGAAAGAGGAATTCCAGCTTTCTCAGCAGTCATGGGTACCAAAAGACTTCCTTTCCCTGGAATCGTCTTTGATGTTATCCATTGTGCCCGCTGTAGGGTCCCTTGGCATATCGAAGGTAGCTCAACACGAGAACAAAACTTGATGCCATGGAAGAGGTGACTCACAGGTAATCTGCTGGAATACCTTGCAGGTGGAATGCTGTTGCTCGAGTTGAACCGGTTGCTGCGTCCTGGTGGTTACTTTGTCTGGTCTGCCACACCGGTTTACCAAAAACTTGAGGAGGATGTTGAGATCTGGAATGGTAATTGTTCTTTGATCCACATGAACTTTCCTAGTATCAGCTTGTAAGAATTCTTTGTATGATCACTAACCTCTGCTGTGAATGTGAATGGTTGCAGCCATGACAGAATTGACCAAGTCCATGTGCTGGGAGATGGTGAACAAGACGAAGGATAAAATCAACAAGGTCGGCATCGTAACATACAGAAAGCCTTCGAACAACGAATGCTACGCGAAACGAAGCGAAAGCAGCCCTCCACTCTGCCAAGGCTCTGATGACCCCAACGCCGCCTGGTAACTCTTTTACTTGTCTTTCCATTTCATGGCAGTATGAGTTCAATGAATCAACGTGTTTGCACATGGCACGTCTATCTCCAGGAACGTCCCCTTGCAAGCGTGCATGCACGAAGTACCTTTGGATTCGGCCGTCCGGGGATCACAGTGGCCGCAGCAATGGCCGCAGAGGTCGGAGAATCCACCGTACTGGCTGAATAGCTCACAGATTGGAGTATATGGAAAGCCTGCACCAGAGGACTTCAAGGCAGACTTCCAGCACTGGAAACGCGTTGTAAGCAATTCGTATCTCAAGGGACTGGGGATCGACTGGTCTGGTGTGAGGAACGTCATGGACATGAGAGCCGTCTACGGAGGGTACGTGAAAACCATGCATTGTTAAGCTGCTCTTTCTGCTATCAGAAAGGATGTATACGAAGCTAAGAACCATCCTTTGTTTCTGAACACAGTTTCCATGCTATCAAACAATGGTGTTTCTCATCACTGCTTCTTTCAGTTTTGCTGCAGCTTTGCAAGAGGTGAACGCATGGGTGATGAACATCGTCACCATCGACTCACCGGACACTCTTCCTGTTATTTATGAGCGTGGACTTTTCGGGATGTATCACGACTGGTGTGAATCTTTCAGCACCTATCCTAGATCATATGATCTACTTCACGCGGATCATCTCTTCTCCAAAACAAAGAAGAGGTCGGCATCATGATATCCTTTTTGTACTCCTGTGGAGTTCATACATCACATCACTGACCAATTTGTCTCTCGCTCGGAGGGACTGTTAATATGCAGATGTAAACTATTGCCGGTGATCGCTGAAGTGGATAGGATTCTGAGACCGCAAGGCAAGCTTATCGTAAGGGATAATGCAGAGACACTTGAAGAGGTCGAGAGCATGGCAAAATCACTGAACTGGGAAGTCAGAATGGGCTACTCAAAGGAAAAAGGAGGATTGTTGTGTGTTCAAAAGACACTGTGGAGGCCAGAAGAAGTTGAGGCAACTGTGTCATCATTGTCTTAGAGCAAATGTAAATCTCAGATGTGTTTTCTTCTTCTTCTTCTTTTCTTTGTGTTCATTTGCTGTTGACAATAGAGGGATAGGCAATGGTTTGTGATTCTGAGTGGATTGTAGAATCACACAGTTGAGAATTCTTGGGATTTGATGTTTATATTGGGACCATGCACAGTGAGTCCTTTATGAATCATTTAGTAAGCTGAATTAAATTAAATATGCTGCTGGCTGCTCTCAAGTAATTAATTAGAAGTTAAATGAAAGGATTATGACAATAAATTGGCACAAGAAAGTAAGAAATAAATTTTAGGTGTCACAATATTCAGCATTTATTATTTTTTGTGTAAATAATAAAATGTTGGAGTGGTATGAAAATGCTTATTTTAACTACAAATTAATTTTTTTGGGTTGTGTTGTTGTTCAATGATTACATATAGGTGGTTTGAATAAGTTTGAAATAATACTTATCTGACCAAAATAATAATTTCATTTTGAATATGTTTACTTTGACACATCCCATTTGAGTTCGCCTTTAGAGGTGGTTTCGGATGCGGGTTTCTCAATATCCAGTCCATACCCGATCCGATTTGATCGAGAATGACATAATTGGGAGACCTTTCTCGGTATGGAAGAAGTATCGTTGGGGCGCGGCTTTTGTTCGAAGCCCATCGAGGAAGGAGCGGTAGCGAGCGCGCAGTGAGTAGGAGAGATGTGGAAGAAGGGGTGGAAGAGGAAGAACGAGGAGGGGGCCGGAGGCGATGGTGCTGCTCCCTCCAGGAAGTTCGCCAAGAAGGATTCGGATGATGATGGCGGAGACGATGGCATCGTCGTCTGTCAGGTTTGGACCGCGCACAAACCCTAGATTTATCTTCTTTTATTTTTCTTGTCTTGGGGTATCGCGATGTCGTGGATTTGCTTACGTGTGTTGTTCGTGTGTTAGATATCGAAGAACCGGAGGGTTTCGGTACGGCTGTGGCAGGGTAAGGTCGTGGTTGACATCAGAGAGTTCTATGTCAAAGATGGCAAGGAACTGCCCGGGAAGAAAGGTCCTTTCGTATTCTCTATCCCTTTCTTTCGGCCTCCTTCAGGCTATCGTTTTATGTTGTGTCATTTGACGAGGGAAAGCATTGCCTATATTGCATCGAGTCATATCGTTTTGGTGCTTGTTATTGTGCAATATGTGTCCCTTTTTCATAAGTAAGATGCACTGTGGTTACTGTTGTTGGAGTGGAAGTTGGACCACCATGGAAACTTATCGGGAGGGTGGAACAATGGGCGCGTGATCATGTTAGCCTACTATCTCGATAGGGTTTGGCATACTAAGAATAATTTTGGACCAAAAGTTATAGTATATGTTCAGTTGTTTAAGGTACTCAATTATTATGTTTGTACAAAGCATTGATAAGTGTATGGAGTTTTTTGAATGACATGGAAACAAATTAATCGGTACTTCGTAGCAACGTCTGGAAAGAAGTTAGTTGGGACTGGTTTAAAGATATAAAAAGTAGTTGATTTGGCGGCATGAAAGATTGGAATAATAACTTCATATGTTGCATTAGGATGGAAGAAGTTGGGTGGTGTAGAATAAAGACATAATTCTATGAGCTGTGAGGTGCCAATAAACTTTGAAGATTGGAATGTTATAAAGTAGAAAGTTTTTAGATATATCTCTTGCCATTTAATTCAATAAATATAAGGCAATAGAATGTGAGCTTAGTGCTAGTTTTGACAAAGCCTTCCAGGTACTTATCATTGTTATTGTGAGGCTTGATGGAGACATTCTATCATTTTCACATTTCAATTTAACCAAACTAGTGCTAATTATTGTTTCAGGAGTCGAAGCCCTTTCATGTAGTAAACTTTCAAGCTTGTGATAATGAGCAAAGAGAAATTACCATAAAAGATTTCTATAGTTATGAAATTTTCACCGATGTGAAATTCAGATTTCTGTGGTGCCAAAATTGTTCCTGTTGTGAAATCCGGGATTTTTTTTATACATGATGAATCTGATTGATATGTCATTTAGATAGAAGCGAGAAGAAACTTGGATAAAGTTTATCTGAATCCTAAGCTTTCCTCCAAGAGGGTATGGTTCTCTGATAGTTCCTGAAACAATTTCTTTGGAAATTGGAACTATTCCAGGTTCGTGATATATTAGTGTATATGCTACATTCGAAGTGGCTCTATATTTTCATAGATTTATGGGCATTAATCAACATTTCATTAACTATAACTCTGGGGAAGTAGAATTATCAAGCATTAATGGAATAGGATTATTAAGTTGATGTATACAATAGGAACTTGATTCTTTGAATAAATGTGATTATATCATGCACGATTGATCAAATCCTAGTGATTCTATGTTTTATACTTTTTATTATTTGCAACCAAAGCTAATGTCTTGAAGTTTGGACTTCTCATTTGCCACCAATTGCATTTCAATTTTCAGCTTTATAACCTGTAAGATGCATCATGCAGTACTTGCTTTTCTGACTTCTTAGGTCTAAGTAATGAGGACTATTTAATAGAGGATCAGCTACAGTAGACAGGATATCTTGGTGATTTTGGAATAATTTATTAGTAATGGAGATTCAATTTTGCTTTGAACAGAGACACATTATGGAATGATTTTCAGTGGTTAAGATGCAAGAGATTGCTTGCAATTCGTGACTTTGTCCAATGCACTCATACAATTGTTATCAAGTGTTTTTGTTAGTTAATTTTAGTCTTCTTCAAGTCCAATTTTTAGTCTTCTATGGCCAACTAAAGAAATATTAGTTAATATAGTTTAAGGTTGATGGAGTCCAATAGCGATATAGTCAACTTAAACATGCTTATTCTTTAAACAAATTTATCAAGTTGTTTGAACTATGAGTTAAACTGTGTGATTTGCCTTGGGAAAGGATGTTGAAGTGTTTTCTTTAAGCAATATTATAACAGATTGCTCTATACTTCTTATTACGTAATTTGATTACAAGTTTTACTTTTTATTTACTTGCCTTTCCTTAATGAACTCTTGATTCAAATCTGCTTTTGCTTGTGTATGGTAGAATTTGCTATGTGAATCTAACATTTAGAATTCTCTAGCTCATTCTCATAGGAACCTTGAATTTTGTTCCTTGTAAATAGGACAGTGAAATATTTTTTTTCGAGTTTAATTTTTTTAATAAGTAAAAATATTGTACCTAATATTATCATGAAGGGAATGATAGCTGGATGAGCAAAGAAGCTTTTGTAGGGTTATGTTAGCCTTTTGTTTTGCCCAAAATGTCTGTATATATTGTTAGTAGATGAAGCTATGAAGGTCCTTAGAAATGTTTCAAATGCTGATCACTAACTGCATAAAGTATGAAGTTTTCTAAATATTAAAAAACAATTTAACTGATAGTTGTTGATAGTAAGAAACCAGTTGGAACTAGTTCAAAGATATAAAAATGTGGTGAACTTGTGGGTATGAAACTTGGAAGAGTGACTTCATATGTTAAATATATGAAGAAGGAAAAACAGTTTTAAGGAATCAATACACAGAAATTTTTGACAATTGGTATTTGTAAAGAGGGAAGGGAGCGATTCATTGCCACTATTGTGAGACTCTGTTAATCTTGAAAATTCAGGAATATGATGACAGACTTAAATGTTTAAGTTAGATATTGTATTAGTAGTTGAAGATTTTTCATGTGGTAAACTTTATATTTGGTAGAATGAAAAAAAATGCTGATTTACCACATAAAATTGTAATAGTAATGAACCAATAATGCCATTAACCATTGGATATCCAACATTTCTGTCAGACATAATTTGTGTTATTGGCTTATCTCATCTGAAAAGAAATGAAAAGTAACTTGGATTAGATTCATTTTACTTTGAAGCTGCTTTCTGAGAGGGTATTGGTCTTTGGTAGATCCTGTGACAATGTCTTAGGAAGCTGGGCCCATTACAGAGTACTTGTTTGTGCAATTGAATGTCACTAGTGTATATGCTGTATGCAGTTTTAATGAAGCTCATAATATTATTGTCATGACAAGATGTAGGATATTTCATCTAATAAATTTGTGGGATAGAATTATCTAACCCTCACAGAGTTAGATTATTCAGTTAATGTATACACACTAGAAAATCAATTCTTTGTGTAAATGTGATTTGGTATGCAAATGGAAAATCCTATTGTCATAGCTTATTTGTGCCTGAATGACTCCGATGTTGATATTTCATTTAGTGGAGATACTTATACATACATTTATGTTATTAGAGTCTGGGCTTTTCATTTGCCTGTCATTGGTTTTCAACTTGTAGCATTATAAGGTTGAAGACCTTGAATCATTGAAGTTAAACACTTCTTAGTAGTTAGGATTATTAAGCAATACATTGCACAACAGTGAAAGTAACATCTTGAAGACACACTTAGAATGTGACTGTTGTGTTTTATAGTATTTAATTAACAGTTCAGATAGAAATTTGTTTTTGATGAAGGCGTGTTGCAAAACAAAATCTTGTGGTAGTTTGCCTACAAATTTTGAATGTATTTTATCAAAGGTTTGCATGTGCATATATCATTAAACCGGTCATGTTTTTGTGTTAATAAATTGTAGTTTCTTCAAGTCTAATTTTTTAACATTGTTTTTTTTGTGTAATTGATGCTGGTTTCTGAATAAATATTTTTATATAGCAAACTAAACATATTAGATAATATGTACTTAAGTTTAGCAGAGTGTAATTAAGGCATAATTGGCATTAGAACAATAACAATAACAATAACAAACGTTGTCCCAACAATTTTGGATCAGCAGGTATGGTCAAAGTTGAGCCTCCCTAAACCCAGGAGCCTTATGCAGTGAACTGTCATTTTTCTATGTATATTCAACTCCTGTCATCATTATTTTCAAGACAAATGTTTAAAATGTTTAAACTACAACACTAGCATGTCATGTTGTTTTTTTACCTTAGCATTTGAACATAGCAATATTATGTTTCTTTGAGCATATTTTGTATAAACTTGTGGAATTCTTCAACTGTTAAGTCTATCATATGGCTTTTCACTAATTATAGCTATATGCTTTGGCCCTTCAGGTATATCACTTCCAATGGATCAGGTATGTGTATACATATCTTCTTTAGTTTTGTTCTGAGCTCTTGTTACTTATGCAAACCATCCCTTTTACTGCTGATTGCCTCAAACCCAAGGAATACAATAACATGAGATGAAACTTAATCTGAATCCACCAGTGCTATTTTTGCTACATCTATGCATGAATTTGGAGGACAGCGGTCTGCCGCTGTTTATTGTCAAAAGACAAGAAAATAGCTCAAAGAAGCTTGATAGGATTATTAACAATATGATAAAATGATAATTAATTACATTATGTGTTCTCTTGTCAAGTTGATCCATTATTCTCTTGTTCTGTGTAGTGGAAAGTTATGCTGGACCACATCGACGAAATTGATGAGGCAGTAAAGGAGAATTCATAGTTTCCAACAGACCAAGAACTTGGAAGGAATTGGATCAGCTGTGTTTTGGCTTGGAGTAGTGGTCCGTCTTTATGGCTGGCGTGGATATACTCTTCAGCAATGTTGTGTGGCTAACAATGTGACTTCTATGTTATGTTTTAGATTGGACCGTGTGCCTTGCTTTTCCGTAAATCATGCTAATATATCCATCCGGATCATCTGGTAGTGTGAGAAGCAGTTATGGATCAACTGCTCGTAGTGTGCTTTGCTTTTTCGTAGATCATGCTAATATGCTCCTCGTGAAGGCAAGTGGTGTCGTTGACTTGTTAGGCAGATCCCAACCTCAACTTGAAGTTGGGGTCGTCAGAGCTCCTATCACTCTCGTTGCTGCCACAATCGTCGTTGCAGTTGGTGGAGTCCAAGTCGGTGCCCGTAAGCAATTTCAATGAGTTAAGTCTAGCCATAGTTAAGGGCTTTCATGGCGATGAGGCCCTCACCATTCGCTATGAGGCTAAGTGTTGTGGTATACCTGGGAGCCACTAGTCGTGGCAGGAGATTTAGCGGTCAACTGACGAGCACAATGTGGACTATATCAACTCTAGCGATGGATGGAGGAGGCTAGTGCTAGGGATTTGGAGCATATGAGTTAGGAGTGACGTCGATATCCATCACGATTGACTTCGCCATCGAACATTAAAATTATTTTTTTATCTTTTATTTTCATATTTTATCAATAAAATTGACGTTATTAAAGTAAATGAACATAGATGTTTTACTTTCATTATAACTATGTCAATATGATTTTTTAAAGTATAAGAACATACGAAACAATACTTAATTGATCCAACAGCATTAGTATGTAGTTTAATGTAATATTTATGGAAGAAAATTATTAAAATAATATAAATATTTCTTGGCTGGCTTTGACAGCTAATGTAAATATAGGATTTGCTATTTCTTTTGTTAGGATTTGTTAATGATATGATCAGGTGTCGGTTATTAAAAAATATTAATTAATAATCGAGAATCCGATTTTTCATTAGTTTATATATATATATATATATTGATTTAATTCAGTTATTGATAACCATTATGAATGGTGGTTTAAATAACCCCCTTTTGAATAACCATTATTAATTCAATTTTTTAAAATAACGCCCTTTGGACACAAGTATTTCACTTGGGTAATCGGCAATTGATACACGTAACCCCCCTTCTGATGCATGTATCGACCTCGACTTCGGTAACGGCGCAAATAAAGGGTCCTTCCGGCTGCCGGCGACGCCAGCGTAAGCGGAGATCACGTGAAGAAAGCAACAGCGAGCAAGAAAATGGGGTGGGTTGCCGACAGCTTGGATTCCATCCGATCTTCTCAGATCAGGCACGTACTCACCCAGATCGTCAGCCTCGGTTCGTTTTCCCCCGTCATATAATCTCACCCTTAGGGTATTTCTTTCTCTCCAAGATTGGGAGATGACGCTGTTGAATAACGGTTTTCATGTTCTCTTTGATTTTCTTGTCTTCTCTACCGAACCCTTGTGTAGCCTTGGAGCACGAACTGGAGTTATTTAAATCCTCTTGTTAATGCTGTAATTGGGGTTATTTGTCGCAGGTATGATCGTGACCTCGGCCCTCATCGTATGGAAAGGCTTGACGTGTGTGACGGGAAACGAATCGCCTGTCGTTGTCGTTCTGTCGGGAAGTATGGAGCCTGGATTCAAGAGGGTGAGATCCTTTGGGTACCCGTTTCTTTTAATTGAATGTATTTTTGATGCAGAACAGTTGGCATGTTAGGTTTAGAAATTGTTGCTGTTATGAAATGTTTGTATATTTGTTAGTACTATAACAGATAGTTGAATATATCACGAAAGATAGTTGGGGCGGGAAAAAGGGTGAATGATATAGATGTAGAAATTGATGTTCAAAGAAGGAGACAGCATAAGGGGCCATCCTTCACTCAAAAAGAACCTTCCCTTGGCTCGAAGGGTTGTTACAATGAAAAGCTGACCAGTTGTTCATTTTATTTTCGCTGTATGTACTGCTTACTTTCTCCCCATATTATATGTCGTAACTTTTGGCCTTTAAAGCAATGTTCTTCAAAGATTGTTCTACGAAGAAACATGGCACCCATATTTTTTCAAAAAAAAAAAGGTTATATGAACTTCCAGTAAAATATTTTAACACTAAAACCCTTCCATGTGATTTGATTTTGTGAGATTCCAGCTTTCTTTTGTTCCTTATGCACCATGATCTGTGAACCACTTCGTGCTTAGCTTGCCCTTTTCTGACTATGGTTTGGTTTAGAATAATGTATTCTTGGGCATTGTTCTAGGTCTGTAGAACATGGTTTTGATTTTAAAATTTGTTTTAGGGTATCCATTAGTTGATATTGCAGCACACTTAATTGACATCTTCGTTCCACGATGTTCTCATTTATGTTAAATATTATTTTATCTTTTTTATCTGTTTAAATACAAAAAAAATCTCTTAGGCATCTATGCTGAAGTATGTTTTTTAAACTTCCAGAGGTTTATTATGCTATGAAACTGTTTTCTTATTGTTGCAGGGAGACATTCTGTTCCTGCAGATGAATAAGGATCCTATTCGAGTTGGAGAAATAGTTGTATTCAATGTTGATGTAAGTACAATTGTGACTGTGGACACTACCATAAACTTCTGTTTATTATGTTTTGGTGCCAACTCCCCTCCATGTCTATCATCTTGTGGTTTTTTTATTGGCAAAATTATTTACTAGTTTAAAGTTTGTATCTGACTTTTAGTGCCTCTCATTTATGCTAATTATTGATCTGTGTTTAGGCTTTAGCAACGTAACATGCTGTTTCAGTGTTAAGTTCTTCCCCTTCATTATGGTAAAAAGAGCTACACCGTTTTTCTTCTCCCAAGCTCTTCCCTTTTCACTAAACCAGAAAATTGCCTGAAATTTTGTTGTATGTTCAGTTTTCAGTTTTTTTTCTTATTCTAAAGATTATTTGCTGCCGCTGCCATATAACATATGTTCTTTCTACTAGTAATTTGACTAAAAGATAAGATGCTTGGCGAATTTTTTGGGACAATCGATTATATTCTTATTTCTACATTCTCTACGGCCATCATGAGTTCATTGCAACTAATAAGATCCATTCTAATATCTTATTAACATTTAGTTTTTCGATAAACTCAAAGACATGGTTAAATTAGTAAATTTTGTATTGTGGGTCTAACAATCTCTTTTCTCCCTTGAGTTTGACAATGAGTTAATTGCATGCAAATGCGGTCATAAAGATGCTTTATGAAACTAGTTACTGATAGTTGGCGGCAGAGCTAAATAGGCAAGCGAAGAAGAGAGACAGATTAATAGAGGGAAAGACAATTAGGCATTAGACCCCAGAATACTTAATTATGTCAAATGATCATCATGAGACACTCATAGAATCCTTAAACTTGCTCCTACCTATCTGTTAATACATGACTGAAGAGTGTAACCGATATGACTCTTCTTTAAGATTACAAAGAAATAATAAAAAACAATTATTACAGTGTTCAACCTCTATTTTGGAGATAAATGTAACATATTGGTTGCCTGATCAGACGTGTAATTCCAAGGTACGAGGATAAGGAAATAAACAGTAGAATCAGATTGATGAGTGCTAAATTTTGTAATCAGTTGTTATATGCACGCTCTTCACCTGGATCACCATTGTGCTTGATTTGATTTTGTGTTGATAAAATATATATGGAGATACTTCTGTTATTTCGACCTTTAAATAGAGTCTCCTACATAGTTCTACAAATCTTGTCGCTCATTTATATATGTCAAATACTTGTGCAACTAGTGACACTTTGACAATTCATGCTGATAATTTCACAGGCCTACTCATATATGTTTTGCAATTTACTAATATTGATCTGTGAAATTCTATTATCTAATTTTGCAGGGACGTGATATTCCAATTGTTCATCGTGTAATTAAGGTGTGCTTTTATCCTGTGCTAGTATTGTCACTTTCTTCTATGATCATGAAGTTTTCATATGCTTGAGGCCATGTTTTGTGTGTTTCAAATAGGATTCCGGTTCTATTTCTCAGGTTTGAATTTTCTTATCTTTTTTTATTTTTTATATATACCCAGGTCCATGAGCGGCACAATACTGGAGAAATTCAGATTCTTACAAAAGGTACAATCTAAATTTCTCTGGGTAATAAAGGATGCTTAACCTTTGAACTAACATATGTAATATGTAGCCTTGTGTATCTTCAACTTGCAAGGTTCCAAATTACATTAATTCCTGTATTTGTTTTCCACCTTGTTCGTCTCCTTCAATGGCATGGTATGGTGAGAGGTTAGAGTTCTAATAATTTTCTGATCTAATACTCAGGGGATAATAACGGTGAAGATGATCGAGTTCTGTATGCTCACGGTCAGCTCTGGCTCGAGCAGCACCACATCATGGGGCGGGCTGTAGGGTGAGACCAATTTTACTCAGCTTAAGATTTGCATCCTCCTTCTAGATTTCTTTGGCACAACTGTGCTTCAACCATCAGCATAGCCCACTTTGTTAATCATCAGCAGCAGTCTTGTCTCAATGAATGACATTTACATCTTAATCGTAACAGGTTTTTACCATATGTTGGCTGGGTTACAATCATCATGACTGAGAAGCCAATTTTTAAGGTATGTTTTCTTCCAAATAGCTGTCATTCAGATATTGTGAAAATCTTGCACTTCAGTATTAAGGGATGACAAACATAGATATAGTGGCTGCTCTCCTATTTAGATTTTTTTTTTTGCCTTGCAGCAAAAATAAAATCTATATTTCTTGCAGACCAAAGCTTTGTCAGATGAATAAATATCAAATTTAGATTGTGTATACCATGATTTCTTCATTTTGTTTCTTGCAGTACTTGGTGATTGGTGCTTTGGGATTACTCATTATAACCTCAAAGGAGTAGGAACTGTTTGTTGCAGTTGCATATGAGTCTAACCATAACTTGCTTCTCATAACATTTCATATATTCAACCTGGCGATTACTAGGACGGACTTGGACGTCTTCATGTGTGAGAAAAGGAGTCTTAGTTCAAATTGTTTGTATGCACAAAAACTAATATATGGCTTTCCTGTACTGCTAGAATAGTTGGCATTACAATTTCTCTCACTCCTTTATTGATATTTTTATTTTTCTCTCTTTTCCTGCCACATTTGAGCAACTCTCACAATTGCTGACAGTTAGCTTTAGCAAAGTATAAACCATAACGTAATCTTTATTTATTTAAAGCTTTATTTATGCATTAAATCCCATATGTGGAGGGAACATCATTGTTCACATTATTCATCAAGGTGATTTTAAAGGTGTTATTAGATGGATTATCGAATGGAGACTCCCATGGCATCCCAGATGGGCCTGCTTATAGTAGCCATTTGGGAAAGCCAAGGTTTGATTCTCAAATAGGATTTTGCTGAGTCTTGGATGATGTAGAATGGCATATGATTGTACTGTCGCCAAGTAATGTTGTACTGCTTCATGGTCTTCCTGGTGGAAGTGCTGATTGCATCTATCTTATTCGTTCCTTGGGATCACAGAGCTTGTTCTTCTTATGATTTCACTGCTGATTGCACTTCCATTTGAACACTTCCCACGATTAACAAGCTAGTCATAAGTTCCAAATATTCACAACATTCAAACTTTTTTGATCCTTTTCATGCACAGTCTTCATCAGGAAAAGACCGACTGCATTTGATCTTGTAAACCCGAAGGAGACTTGACAGAGGAACAAAATTTATGGAAAACCAACCATTATGCCGAGATCGTCATCGCAAACACGATCGAATATACACACCGCGGGGTTCACCATATGGCTTGGCGCCGCCTCTTCTGAAACAAGAGACGGGCATCGGACGCTGCCTTGGCGCTCAAGGGCTTGACGTCGACCCTCATCCGGAAGAGAGCGCTCAGCTTGCTCAAGTTCTTGGTGAAAGATCGGAGTAGTTTGTTGGCAGGGTTGGCGCGCACGAGCTCCTGCTTCATGGAAACATGATCCTTCTCGAGATCAGTCAGCCTTATCCTCATCCTCGCTACCTCCAGCTTCAGCTCCCTGTTCTCTCTTCTCACCGACGCGTAGTTGTCCCTGGGAGAGATGGCGCCGCTCCCCACCCCACTGCCTGATCTCTGAGCGCACTGGCCGATTGCGGAGCCGAAGAAGAACTGGTCATGGCCTCCGTTGATGACGTTCCGCAGCCTGATCTGCTCCAAGTACAGCACTTGCACCGCCATTTGGATGGGCAGCCGTTCGTTCTGTGCTGCGTGGCTGCACGCCTCCTGAGACAGCTTCTGGCAGTCTATGGTTTTGCAGAGGCGGTAGCGCTCCGAATCCTTGATGTTGGGATGAACCTGCGATTTGATCCGATCCGTCATGATGAGAGACGCTTCCACTTCTCTCGCATGATCAGCAATCGAATGGAAGATCAGGAACAGGAATATGTACCTACCTTCAAGAAGATATCCACGGCTCGATATAGACCATCGTTCACAACTCGAGCATGATCCGGGAGTAGCTCCGCAAGAGCGATGAACTTGGATGGAGTCAGGTTGGAATCCAGTGCGACCTCGGCGAGGTAACTGTCCAAAAGCTTGGATACTTTGACTATCGCGCTTTGCTTCGGAGATCTCGGGCTATCCAACTCGTAGCAGCCGTCTCTTTCCTCTCTCAAACGACCGCCGTCTTCCTCCTCTTCCTCCAGATTCAGGAAGATGGAGAAGATCCTCGCCACCGACTCCGTGTCGTACAACGAGGACTGGCACCCACCGTGAGCGTTCGCGGCAGGGATCAGTACGTCCTCGAGGATGGCTTGGTCGAGTTGGAGCCCAATTCTTCTCTCCAGATCTGCTCTGCAGATGGTCGACGCCGAGACCATGGTTGCAGTTTTCAGGAGACCTGAAAGAAACGCCATCGGCACGGGGCTCCTCCTTGACTGGCTCGGGAGCAGGGCAACGATGGTTTCTACCACGATCTTTTGCTGCTTCAGCATGTCTGCATCTGAGAAGCCACCTTTAGATGATTGCATGTCTCTCACCGTGAGTCCCTGGAGAGAGCTCTGTGCGTAATTGATCAGGATCTTGCTCACAGTCTCCTGCTTCAGGCCTTTAGATTTCATTGCTGAGAGAGCCCTTTGGAAGAAGTCTAAGCTCAGCACTGCCAGCGACTTCCCCCACCAGTCTTTTGGCGGTTCCACCCCTGCCATTGCAGGCTTATGAGGCAAGCTGTGGTCGAGTTTGGAGAGGCCTGAGGTTAGCTGCTCTTTGCATACGGTGGTTGCCACCGCTGTGAGGATCCTGTTGATCAGATTGATCTCTTCTGCCACAGGAAGGAGGCTTTCGCAGTGGTGGAGGACGGTGATTGAGTTGACGATGTTGGGGATGACTGCTTCCTTGAGGTAGATCTCTGTTCGGAGTTCCAAGTTCTTCTCTGCAAACTCCTCGGTCATCTCCAGGTAATGTGCTGCACACCGCAGCATGGCAACATTGGATGGGTTGAGCTCTGTGTTGATGCCGTAGCAGAACTTGGCAGCGATTTCGAATGCTTCTGCTCCGCCCGGTGTGCCATGGAGATTGATGCGCGTCACCTTTGAGTTCTTTGCATCGGATATGAGCTTTCTGATCCTTCCACTCCGGGAAACAAGAGGGAACTGCAGAGATCGATGGCTATGTGGTGAGCTTTGAACTGCTAAAAGTAAGCATTTCACATTTGTTTATGAAGTGTTTATGCATAGTATCAGGATAAAGAACATCGAAGAAAAGGAAGAATTTGCTAGCTAGCGAAGAGCTAATTTATGAAATGGAACTTTTTATAAATGTTCTGCTGATGTTTTTAATTGTTGTGTTTCTGTTCATGAAAATTGATAGAAACACAACAATTTGACCATAGTCTACCAAAAGATTGAAGTCATTCGAAATCGAGTATTCTCACCTTGTGCAGTGCAAAGCTTGATGTACCAACTTCAACTGTGAGATCACTAGAAACATCAGAAAGTGGCCTGAAAGGTCAGGTCAGGAAGTTTAAGAGTTAGAACTACACAATGGAAATTTGTTTAGTTAACAGAACAGTCTTCTGCGAGCATGATGTTTGACATGTTTTTTAGGAACAAGATGTCACTAATGCAGTGAAATTTTTCGTTTGATGACAGATAGCATTCCTACAAACATTTTCATTTTTCCTCCTATCTTTTTCACTAGAACTTTATTTCAGACAATACTCATCTACTCAGGTGCATTTCTTAGGTTTAACGCATTGGTGAAACGTAGTTCCATCTTTTTGTAATGCTAACAGTAGTATGGCATTTATGTTGCTGCCAAAGTTCACTAAATAGCCAGAAGTTGACAGTCGCCAATCCTCTTGTTTCCTTCTCTTCAGCTTTCTTCAGTTTTACCAATTAACACCAGCAATGATAAATATGTACAGCATGCTAGCCAAGCCAATTTGATTTCAAATGTGCAGCAAAAAATTCATATGTAGTGCATCTTTTAGACAGAATTATTTTCTTCTCCTGTATTACACTGTGAATTATCAGAGAGACAGATACGTAAAAGATAACTAATATGCAGAATTTTGCGGCGAACATGCATGAGGCGACATAAAGGTTTATCATGTAAAGTTTAGAAGGGGAGAAGAAAATGTTTGTGATGAAACGTAGAAATTAGATGTCCATCATAAGATTTTTCTTTTTGTCAGATGTCTAGAAGCTCATGAACCAAAGCAAATATGTGGAATACCAATACAACTATCAGTAGAACACTCAAATAGAAATGAATTCATGCATGGTTACAAGAGCACTGTTACCATTCGGTGGCCTGCCGTGTGCTCAAACTGGATCGGAAAATTCGCTTTGCAGGAACAACACTCAGCTGCTTCAGCTCAGTGACAGTGGCCACCCCCATCTCTCTCTGCCTCTGATAACAATGAGGCTGTTCTTGTATGTTCCTAGGCTGCTGTAAGGAAGGAAGGAGAAAGTCCAAGTTTTGGTGGATGTATGAGGAGAGAAGGGAGTGTGAGCTTTATGAGGGTGGAGTGGTGGCAGGGAGAAAAGCCATAGGCTTGATGAGAAGTAAATTTATTTGAACAGTGAGATAGTTGATGATCTGATTTGCACTTATGGATGACACTTTCAAGTTTCAACTACATTGTGCAAAAGGTAGAATTTATAGCAGCATTGTTATAAAAAAGCATAGAATAAACGTATACTGGGATGCATGTCTTTTAGTCAAAACTCTGGAGGTAAAAACCTTTACTCTCTTCTCTGTACACTGAAAGATTCATGATAAAAGATGGTATGCAGATGATTATTTTAGTATGACATGAGCTGGAGTTCTTTTTTCCTATTTATTTATCCAAAAATTTGTGTCTATGTTGGCATTATTGATGCTGCCCTATACGAAATCCTACCCCAGATAATAAACTATGCTTGATGCTTTTATCTTAAAATGTCTTTGGTCACTAAATAAACACTACTGTTCTCTGAAGCTGATCATAGAAGTTAGAATCATAAGCTTGAATACAGTTTCCACTAGCAGCAAAACCACCGTTTATGATGACAGTAATAAATCTGTGGTCTCAAATTTATTATTTTATTTCCCCAGGAAAGCAAAGGTGCATTTCAACTGTTTGAAGGTAATTAGGTTCTCCTTCAAATGGACAAGAAACGGGTTCTTTACTAGCACCTAGTGACATGAGAAACTGTACAGCAAAAAGAATGGTAGCCTTTCTGGATTGTAGGGGTCATGAGTTAAACATCTACAGAGTGATCAACATCTGAATGGTTTAGTAATAAGTGCTCAAGTTTGGTAGGGTTTTATTTGCAAATGGCTGATTAATAAAGGAGTAGACAGCTGTGCCTTTCTCTTGTCTTTTGGAGTTAAAAATAATGTTTGAGGTTAGTGGGGTGATTGGATCCATTCATGAAACCTAATTCAATATTAATTGCTTTATGTTGCTGTAGTTTTCAGGACTCTGGTAGGGTGTGCATTGTCTCTTTAAGAAGAAGAAGAAGAGAAAAGAAAAGAACCAGACACAAAAGCGAAAGCCAAGCCAACTGTGAGCAAAAAAAAAAACAGGTATATTTTAAAGCAAATTTCCTGGAAAGCTTGGCAGGTTATGATGAAGGTGAACAAGAAATAGTTTAGTGTGAGACACATTATGTGCTTTAGATCTAGCTCTCATTCTACAGCTGCAGTTTTTACTTACCTAAATAATCCCGTTACCCCAAGGAACTTAGATTTGACCATCCAATTGATGTTTGATCTTTTGATCTTTTATTGGTGAGACAGGATCAGAAATTTTCTCTGAACTATTGATTAATTATGAACAGAAGTAATTGGGATAGGGATGGGGAAAAGGAGAAAAAAATTGAGAGTGTGCATTTCTTCTCCATGACATGATGGTAAAGCCAAGAATCATTAGCACAGTTGAAGCTGGTGATCCTCATTATGGCAAATCGAAAAGAAACGACTATGAAATGTCTGGGCCCATAAAAAATCTAAGCTTTTTTAGTGACTTCAATTAATCCATATGATTGTGCATCATGTTAAAAGCAGATGGTCCAACCTCTCACATAACCATCATGTTTGTAAAGATGTTCTCTTCCTTGCAGGACTGCAGGAGGTATGCATACACAATTGCTAAGATTTGTACCACCAATCCAACAAAAGGTGACCTGCAATGAGTCATGACAGCTCAGTATATTCTCATATACTGGGGTTCTTTTATTATGATAAGTTCACTTGATTTTATGTTGTCTCCCACATAGTTTATATTGGATGAGCATATGAGTGAAATCATGGTAAGGTTCTTCGAGATGATTAGATCAACAGCCTCCATGATCCCTCCTAATTCCTTCCTCTTTTGGCTGAGTATTAATGCTCAGGTTAGCTCATAGTAAAGTAAAGAAGACCATTTACTTTGAGATCCAGGCTTTCAGCACAAGAGGCTTTTTAACTGCTGCTTAACTCTGTTGCAAGTCTTGGGAGTCTTGAGCCACTGAATCATGATCATGAACTTCAAAATTTCTGGAAGCTACCTTAGTCTCTAAAGCTGGTTAATCAGAACTTTTGCTTGGAGAATGTAATTGTAAAGGTATGGTCTCTGTAAGATATGCATCATCTGACACTTTTTACTGGCATTTTATAGTTCTAACAGATGATTGTGGAGCTAATGAACATGAAGTGAATGAACTGGAAAGAAAGGGGAGAAAAGTAGCTGGTTCTACTTTAGAGCAAAGGGTTATGGAAAATAGTAGTTAAAAAATGAAAGCTCATGAGGGGATAAAGATGCAGACTTAGAATTGGATCAGAACACCCAATGGGTGAACTCTCAAATACTTCACAGGGTACTCGAAAGACTGGATACAGAGCACAATGAAACAGATCAAATTGATTGTTATGGTGTGTCAGATGGACATGATAAGCACTTTGCCCTGCGGAAAAGGAAAGATCAGCAGCTGATGATGGGGTTGGGACTTGCACTGTGCATAGCATGAGAGAAGTTGCACAATGTAAAGGAATCTCTGGTCTTCTTGTATGGTAACCATTATAGTGAACAGCAATCCTACTTGAGTGAGTCAGAAGGCTGAGTGCTGGCAGAAAGAAATGTTCAGGTAATCTCAAACTTAGCTGCAGACTCGGTAAAACTTCAAAGCTGTGTGTTCTAGTTTCCTTGCTTTGATTCTTGTAGAGTAATTTAGTACCTATATGTTTTCGAGACTGATTTATCTCATCATTTTTTGAAGCTTTGATTCTTGAAGATTAGAAACATCTTTTGGAGTTTGATCAAGAAGTTTAGAAATGACGAGTGGTAAGATGTTTCTTAATCTCATCAAACTTGACTATCTACCCAAATCCAAAACCAATCTCAAGTTCAAATATTTCCAATTGAATTTATCTCATTGATCTGGATTAATATATATATATATATATATATATATATATATATATATATATATATATATATCAGATTTAATATCAATTTAATCCAAAAACTTAAATTTATCTGATTGTATATGTAATTTGACTTTCTTAATTTTTGCGAATGTGAAATTATATTGTCAGTCCAACTTCACTCTTCAACTCTTAATATTTCCTAACTTATAATGCAATGAAATTGGAATTTAAGTAGGGAAAACGGAGCACAGACCTATGGGTGCATTAACCGATAGATTAATGTGATGGACTAATTTGTAGCTGATAGATTTGTTCGTCTACATGCCTTACATCAAATTAGCTTCTGATTAATCAATATAATGTAGCATTAACTGTTTACTCCATATCATAAGCTCTTTGCAGAATAGTTCAGAGACACCGGTGCAAATGGAGGCTGATAAGGCATATTTGATTCCATCCATAAATCTATTTTCTTCCCGATAAGAATTCTAGTTCTTACTGTTCATATGTTATGGTATGAATATAATGTACCAATTTGTTATGTATGGATGATGAGATTCCATTGATACAAAGCTAATAGATTTATTGAAATTGAACTTACGATACCGGATCAAATGTGTCGGTATATATGGATTCAAAAGTCCAACAAAATAAATATACCCGATGCTAAAGAGGTCTAACTAATAATAAAATTAAATGAATTTATAAGGTATTATTGTATCATAGATTTGGTGCAACACAAATGTAATTGACTCCGAGATAAACATGTTGTGTGTCGATCATGAGAACAATGATCCAAAGAATCTATCGTAAAATAAAAGATAAACACTTGTTAGAAATGCTCTTTGCTGCATCTGACAAGGTTCGACACTCCCAGAATAGATCAAGTAAGTGTTTGACCAAGATTCGACTAGAACACATACAAAGAAGAATGCCTCGTACCTATATGGTTTTGAGATAGTATAATATCATTGTTTTATGAGATAGTGTATGTGGAGAATCTAATTACTCTCATTTAGATCTTGCACCTATGTGCAGCCAAAGCCCAATCTACCAGCTTTCCCCAACATCATGCATGCATGTGTCTTGCTCCTGCATCTTCGTCTTCATGGATAAGGACTTCCTCAACCCAAATAAAATAAACAGAGGTAGGCATTTATATATATGTAGAACCACTTTAATGAACAGAAATAAAATAAACTACAGTGGCATGAAACCAACACAGTCATTGCTTTGTACCACAAGAGCTGGCAAGTTATGTACATCATTTGCAGATACCTCTGACTAAATTGTGAAGGAGCTTTGCATCTGCAGGTTTGTGTTTCAACACACAGCAGTTGTTTAGTGTGGTTTAAGTAGCTGCTAAACCAGTAAAATACTAAGCATGAACTTCTAATCAGACTTTAAATATTCTCATGCATGCGTGCATCGTGATATAGTTTAGGAACACAACCAGCTGATCATGTCTGAGGCATTAATGATCTAAGACTGTACATGATCTTTCCCTTTCTTTTAAGGGTAGGAGAAGGAGCAGTATGTGCAGCAGGGAAAGTACGAATATGAGATTGTCTGTCAGATTAAGTTTCTACGCTGATGCCTTACCTTCCAAAGACAAAAAATAAAATGCATGCCTTGATAGAAGACCAAATATATATATATATATATATATATATATATATATATATATATATATATATATATATATATATATATATATATATAT